CTCCAGAAACATCCCCCAACTCGCTTCCCCCCACCCTCCCCTCGCTGCCCCAGCATGGGGAAGGGGCACGGGGTGTCTGGGAGGGGATGGGGCAGGCTGAGCTCCCAGGGGCAGAAGGGGACGGTGAAGGAGCTCATCGCTGCTGGGGAGCCGGGAGCTCCTCCGCAGCCACCTTCAGTGACTTTCTTTGGCCACTTGCCTTTGGAACAAGCCCCCCTTGCCCCAGCGAGGAGGCGGTAGCCCTGCGGCGGCAAGGGGGGCTCTGCTAGCATCCCCTCCCGTCCTCCCCAGCACACAAGCTGCTGCTTTTATAAACGCTCCCGAGAGCGGCACGCACAGAGCTGAGCCAAAGGTCGCAGCGCTGCCAAGCAGGCAAGGAGGGGAGCCACCTCCTCACCCCGTCCTACACTAACTAAGCACTCTCCCATCCCCGAGAGCAGGGAAGCGTTGCCTCCCCCGCTGTGGTTTCATTAGGAGTCATTGGGGAGCCCGAAGAGCTTGACGGTGCCTGCCTCCCGGCTGCTGTCGTATTTGCCATCTTTGTCATCACAGGCGAAGGCCAGCAGCGGTCTCTTGGGGTGCCAGGCCACTGTGAAGGTGGGGGACTCGCACTGCACCTCCCAGAGCTTCTCTCCTGCATGGAAAAGGGGCCACGTCAGGCTGGGGAGCCTCCGGCCCCCCGCCGCACGCTGCCCCGTAGCGCATGCCGGAGCCAAGCACCTGCTTCTTCTCTCCCGCGCAGGGCAGAGGAGGAACAAACACTGCTTCAGCGCCTTTTAATCACCTGGTGACAAGGCACAGACATGACACGCATGTCTACCACAGACTAACGAGGCAGAGGCTCCCCCTCACGGCACTCTGCTCTGCACAGCCGAGCTCTGCCTCAGCAAACCGATACTCCCAGTGCCCTCCCAGCTGCACCAGCACTTCTCCATCCAGTTCCCTCCTCGCTCTTCCCCAAAAGGAAATCGTTACCTGTCTCCACCTCCGCAATGTCAATGAAGTGATCTTCTGATGCTGATGCCAGCATCTTCCCATCATGGCTAAAGCTCAGCGTTCGCACAGGCCAGTCAAGCCTGCAGCAACAGAGCGAAGCAGACAGTGAGCCGTCTCCCGCACCGTCACCGGAGAGGGGAGGCAAACGCCTTTGGGACAGCGCTACCTACCTTGAGAAGCACCTCACGCACACCAGTTCGTCCACATCCCAGAGGCTGACCAACGCGTCAGCACTGCCCGTGGCAAAGTACTTTCCCATGGGATCAAACTTGATGCAGATGCAGTTTGAAGGATGAGCGTTGATGGACTGAATGGGCTTCAGCTCTGGGTAGCTGCGGAGATGAAGGGAGAGGACAAGAAGCAGTGAGAGGGGCAGGGCACACTTGGGACTGGGACTGTCAGCAAACCCAGCTGGTGCAGGGCCATGCTCTTGGAAACCTTGAGGGCCGAGTGAATGAGGCAAAGCGTCAGGGTCACTGACGCAAACTGGGGCAACCTCAGCTCCAGATAAGTTCCTTCCCACCAGAGGGCTGGGAATCGCTGGGGCGTGGGACTCGCGTTCCCCAAAAGCAGCAAAGGGGCTTGCAGACCGATGTCTGCCGCGGCCAGCCCAGCTACTCTGCCCACCCGCTGCCACGGGCACCTACCTGAGGATGTTGATGCAGCCATTCCCGTTAGTGAGGAAGAACATGTTGTTATCGTTGTTCCAGGAGATCTCATTCACCTCAAACTTGAACTGTTCCTCTGCTTTGGAGCGATGGGTCTTGGCATCAATGAAAGTGACCACGTCATCCTTGTTCCCCACTGCGATGGTCTGTCCGTCAGGGCTCCAGCAGATGTTGATGTTCTCCCCTGGAGGGACAGAAAGGCAGCAGGTCCCATTTCCACCCAGCGATCCACAGCGGCCACAAGTTAAGCGGACAAGCAGCTTCTACTCCTGATCCAAGGCCACAATCTGCTCCACTAACTCCAAACCACTCCCAAATGGGAAAAACTGCCAGGTCTGCAGTCTAACACACAAACCCTACACAGTAGCTGTCCAGCAAACACATACAGTTATTGAAAATTAAACTTAACAGAACCAGAGCTTCAAGCCAACGTGACTACGTCGCTGCCCTTCCCATTTCGGCCAAGATGGGACCACAGCAACCACCAAACAAGGTCAGTTCAAAGATTCTCTTAACCCAGTGATCTTCGAGATCCAGAAAAAGCAGAAGCCAACAATAAATACATACAAATGAAAGTTAAGAACAAAGCAGGTTTCTATTTGCCATCTTACACTACCATTTCCAGCCCCGACAATTCGAAACTGAAGATTTCCAAGGGCAGAGGTGGTATGTGGGTTAACCAGCCCATGAATTCAAATAATCACTTTCTGAATCCATGCAAACTTTTACTTCCACCATGGCTCTCTGCAAACATGCCTTTCCCCAGTCTCCAGCCTTGCGGCCCACAGACTCCAGCCACAAGTACACAGGACATTTTAACAGCCGGCACCATATTTCAGTAGTTTCTCCAGTACTGACACCAGAGTAAATCAGCCCTCTCGTTCACTGCTGCTCCTTACAAATGAGTGGAACACAAAGATAAAAGCACTCAGCAAAGATGCCCCGATCGCCAGCACCTACAAGAAGGGTCCTAAGCACCGTGCCGCTGCAGACGGATCCCCACGCAGCAGGAGTTCTGCCGGGACCCAAGAGCCCTCCCAGGAAGGCAGGGACTCACCTTTGGTGTTGACAGTGGCGATGCACTTTGTGGTGCGGACGTCCCAGATGCGGATGGTTTTGTCCCCGGACGCCGTGACAAAGAGGTCAGGGTTGCTGGGGTGCCAGCAGAGCTGATCCACGCTGTCCCCGTGGCCCCGGTAGTTGTTCTCCTTCACCTGGAGGGAGAGGACAGCCGTTCATGGGAGGGATGACCCCAGCTCTACCCCCGTCCTGCCCCGGATCCCAGTATGCTGCATCCCGCTCTGCTGCCGGTTACCGGCTGTGGCGGGACCCCAGCCCAGTGCCCCCCCCCCATTTCGGTCACGCTCCCCACCCACAGCCAGCCGGGGTGGAGGAGCCCTCCCCACCTCCCCACCCAGGC